GCACACGCGCCCGGTCTGAGTTTTAAGCCACCGGGTCCGGGACGCGAATCACGGTCGACTACGTGGGAGTCCAGCAACATAGCCATTACACTAACTGCTGGTTCCCTCTTTTTCTTTTTTTTTAGAGAGATTTTTGCTATAGAGTGGGTGCAGTCTCTGGAGAGACATAGAGAGATAGAAAGCAAGAAGTCACCCCAGAGGGGTGACTGGTCACGTCGCGATCTCTTCTCCATTCTTCTCTTGCAATTTTAGGCACACACACACACATGCCCAGCATGAGATTGAAGCCATCAGATGTGGGACTCGAACCACGATCCGCCATGCATGAGTCCAGCGACGTAACCATTACACCATCTGCTGGTCCCTGTTCTGGTGTGTTTTTCAAGCTGCTGGAGCTGGGACTTGAACCTCAGTTGTAATGTGGATTCTGACTCCTAATACATAGTGCTTATCCACTGTGCCCTAGGGCTTTCCCAGACAGGGCATTTAAGTGTCCAGAAGATGTCAGGGGCAGATGAGTGACTGGACTGTCTTCTCAAACTCTGTCTTTGCCTCTGCCTCCTCTTTATAGGGCGACAGCTCCCACAGCACATCAGATTCCAGAGACAGCCCATCCTGGCAGCCTTTTTCCCAGATAGGGCTCCCCCGCCCCCACCCACAGGGCTGGTCTGGGCATAGGAACCACAGCCATAGCCCTGCCTACAGGCCACAGCTGGGAGTTTGGTTGGCTTCATGATTTTTCTGGCCTGGGTGTAGGAAATCATTTTCTGCATCACTTTCCCAAAGCAGAACCATCCCATAAGGAACACTGCCATCAGTTAGAGAAGGGTGTCCTTTAACGATTCGGGAACTTGCACAACAGGGCATGGGAGCCTGGTTGCTTTTTGTTGAGAGATCAGCAGGCAGCTTTGAATAGCTCTGCCCCACACCCCCAGGTAAGTTTCATTTCTAGGCACAATTCTGTCCTTACTGCTCTTACTCTGCAGTTTTATATCGGGTTTTAGGAAGTGAAACCGTAGTGGAAGGTGTGTGAGTGAGGCCACCCCTTTGCATATGCACACTGCAGAGGTGCTGGTCACACCCCAGATCTAGATGTGGCTGTGGCTGTTGCTGTGACTAGGATAGGGGGTGCTGGAGGATGTCTGCAGAGCTTCTGGGGCTGCCCCTTGAGCACTGCACCTTTAGGGAGAGCCAGACTCCTAGGACGAGATTGCAAAGCGTAAGTGGCCTTCTTGGGGTTCACTAGATTTGTTTCACATCCTTTCCCTATAGATTTAGCATTCATTTGGCATTTTCTGATACAGGGAGGAGGGAGTGGATGCATAACACGAAGATTAGGGAGTCCTGTGCGCTGGGCAGGGCTGGGAGGACTGCACTCTGTCCCATGGCTGTGCTCTCCTGTGGGAGGGCAGCCATGAGGTCCCCTTAGGCTGTCAGGATTTGGCAAGAACTGGGTCTGGCACCGATGGAGTGTTTAGACAATGGTAGTGGAAACTTACTGTTTGCAATGCATAAATTATTTTTTGATTATTTCTACTGCTCATAAATACAATAAAAACAGGGTTACTCATAGCCCCTGAGCCCACAGCCAAGGGAATATTGCCTGTTCTTTACCCTTAGGTCCACGCCCTTCCATACAGTGTTCACGGTACAGGGCCAGCCATGGACCTACCTTAGATGTAAGAGTCATGGCCACCTTTTCTTTTCTTTTTTTTTGGGTGGGGAGGTTTTTGCTGTAGGGCACGTGCACTCACCAGAAAGAGAGAGACAGAGAGACAGAAAGTGAGAAATCACCTCCCCTCAGGAGGGATGGCCATGCCACAATCCCTTCTCCATTCTTCTCTTGGGATCTTGGGCATGCACGTACAAATGCTTGGCATGAGTTTAAGCCACAGGATCCGGGACTCAAACCGTGATATCGACTACATGGGAGTCCAGTGACATAGCCATTACGCTAACTGCTGATCCCTTGAGTTTCTTTTTTTAAAAACATCATTGTGCCAGTTCAACTCGGACATAGGGAGAAGGGTGTGGTAAGTGTTAGTCTTGACAGCACGGAACCTCACTGTGGTGAGCAGATGGCCCTGGCTGTGTGGCCCAGTGTGCAGTATGTGCCCTGGCTGCCCATCCAGCATGGGGACACATGGGCTTGACCCGATAGCCATCCAGTGCCCTCCATATGACAGGGGTCTCTGATTGTGACAGCACATTCCCTCGCTCAGTGTCCCCTTCTTTTCCTTCTCGCGCACTGCAGGACAGAAGGGCCCATTTGCCAGCTCTTACGTGAGTTCAATTTTCCTGGCAATGGAGGCTTCTGAACAGAACCAGATAGGAGCAGTGTTTACTCAGGGCCTATCAAGACACTCATCTGCTGTCATTTTACCCTCGGGTTCACCTTCAGTAAAACAGTGTCCCCTGCCCTCATTTTAGAGCTGTGAAGTGGAAGGTCAGGGTGAGCCCCCGTTGTTAGAACGCTGACCCAGTCTCAAGGAGGACCTGAACTTGAACCTGTCCGTCAGGTGCCAGGGCTTCATCAGGGGCTATTCCACTGCACAAGCTTAGTGCCCAACAGAGAGGTTGCGTGCAGTGCACCTTTGCACAGGCCTGTGATTTAGGATGCTCTGGGTAGGTGGCCGTTAGTTTGCTTGCACAGAGCTGGGAGCAGGTATCGTTTGCAGTTGGGTCACATGCTGGTCCCTGGCCAGAGCGATGCGACGTTATTGCTATTGCCTACTGACAGAGCCTTCAGGAGCGTCCCCCTGGCACTCTCTGAGCATGGAGGTTTTGGACCAGCAAGCTTGGGTCCATTTATTTTAACTTGGACATAGAGAGGAGGGTCTGGTAAGTGATAGTCTTGACAGCACAGACTCTCACTGTGGTGAGCAGGTTCACCTCTGCCTCCTAGCACAATCTCACCCGAGCGATGATTTCTTCTTTCTGAGCCTCAGTGCTTTAGGGATAAACAGGGAATAACAACAGCTAGTTTGCTAGTTGGGTCATACTATGAGAGAGAAAATGCACTGCAAACCTGCCCTGTAATAGGTGCTCATAATAGCAGTTGTCGTTGGTGCCGTTAGCTCACAGTCATTGTGCCAGTCCAGGGTCTGCTCCTGTGAACAGGGCCTCTGCCACGAAGACTTGGTTCATTTACAGCATTTGTGCGTCACCTCTTCTGCAGGCCCTCCCTTCCTCCTTCTTCACAATGCAGTGAGGTTCAGGCCGTCCCCGTCCCTGCTTCTCTGTTGCTTACCCTTGGATGTAGTTGAAACAAGAAGGAATGCAGCGCTATGCGTGCTCTCAGAACGGCTCCTGGTACTTCTCAGACCCTGTGTCAATGTGTCCAGCCTGGCACTCAGACTCCCGAGGCACTGAGCCACATGCTCAAGCCAGGCCCCTCCGGAGCAGCTCCAGGGTCAGCCCCGCCTCCATTGAGAGGGAGTGGCTGCTTCAATTCCAGGTGTCCAAATGGCGTGGCTTCCAGCCCTGGCAGCTCCCTGGCTTGGAATGCCTGCAATTTCACAGGCGAGAAAATAGACGGTGGGGGAGGCCCACACTGCGGAATATTTCAGGAGGTTCTGGGCTGTGACACTGTGTGTGGCCCTCCTGGTTATAGCTGCTGGTCAGCATTCCGAGGTTGGGAAGCCACTGCACCACAGCCAGACTGTGATTAATAACAGTAGCGGAGGGTTTGGCTCCTCCCACCCTTGTTTTAGGTTAATTTCTCTACTCCCTATATTCTGTGGAAACCAGCAGGTGCAGAGCAACCTCCGCGGTAGTTAGTGGGCCTGCTGCACCCCCCAGCTCCTACTCGGCCCACTGACACTAGGGTCAACTTGAATGAAGGCCTGATTGGCTCCTGCTCTGTCTCTTCTAATGTCTAGATGTTAGCAGATCCCGGATGTTGAGAGGAAGGCAAGATGGTTAGTCAGATGCTTAGTTTCATAAGAATGTGTAACCAGCACAAAGTCGAAGCTCAGCAAGTGTTAGCATGTGAAGGGAACAGTCCTTTCTGGGGCTTTATGAGCTGGGCTGGGTTCAGGAAGTTCACAGTGAGCCCTCAGGTAAGGTGACCCAGAGCTTCTCTGACAGCTCTTTGTGCATAGAAAGTATGTACAAAGATCTTGGTGCTTGGAATTATTTCCGTTTCTCTGGTGCTTTATTTACTCTGCCTGAGTAGCACTTTGGATTCAAGAGGAGGGTTCATCTCTGTTTGTTGTAAGTTACACTGTGAGTTCATTTATACAGCGCCTTTAGAAAGTTCCTGGAAAAGGTGTGCTACCAACAAAACCCTGTGCATGGATGTCAAAAATTTATCGCACCAAGGTAGACTTAAATTCCATTTTCCCATCATCTTTAGCAGGCCCTTGTATTTGTTTAGACAGATGCATGGGCCTGTCGCATGGATCTGGTCATCTGGGCCTGGCCACCTTTCTCTAAAGCCCCTCTCCTGTTCTCTCCCGTAGTGCTGCACACACAGGGCCCTGTTGATGGCAGCCTTTATGCGAAGGTGAGGAAGAAAAGTGCCTCGGACCCCGGAATCCCAGGAGGCCCTCAGGCTGGCCCTACCACCAGCAGCCCAGACCACAGTGACCATACCCTCTCGGTCAGCAGTGACTCGGGCCACTCCACAGCCTCGGTCAGAACCGATAAGACTGAAGAGCGCCTGGCACCAGGAGCCAAGCGGGGCCTGAGCCCCCAGGAGAAGGCCGAGCTGGACCAGCTGCTCAGCGGCTTCGGCCTGGAAGACTCTGGGAGTGCTCTCAAGGAAATGACGGATGCCCCCAGCAAATACAGTGGAGCTCGCCACGTGGTGCCGGCCCAGGTCCACGTGAACGGAGACGCCGCCCCAAAGGACCGGGAGACTGACATCCTGGACGACGAGATGCCCCACCATGACCTGCACAGCGTGGACAGTCTCGGGACACTGTCCTCCTCAGAGGGGCCACAGTCAACTCCCATGGGCCCCTTCACTTGCCACAAGAGCAGCCAGAACTCTCTCCTATCCGATGGGTTTGGCAGCAGTGTTGGTGAGGAGCAGCATAGTGCCCCGGCACCTGACCTGGGCCTGGCCACGGATGCCCTGTATGAGAGGGAGCGGGTGTTCGGGAGCCGAGAGCCCCGGCAGCCCCAGGCCTCATTGTGCAAACCATCGGTATCAGCGCAGACGCAGGCCTTCGGGCCCAGTGGCTACTCCACGCAGACCTGGGTGAGGCAGCAGCAGATGGTGGCCGCGCAGCACTACAGCTTTGCCCCCGATGGTCCGGGGCTCAGCCCTGCCCGGCCTGGAGCTCCACTGACACCCAGCCGCACCAGCAGCAGAGTAGTGGTGCAGAGGGGCATGGGCAGTGGGCCGCATGCCCCGGACACACAGCAGCCCTCTCCTGGCAGAGGGTTCAAACCCAGGTTTTCAGAGGCTGGAGTGATGAATGGAGCCACAGCAGAGCCGAGCACGGGCCCCTCCCCAGGCTCCCCCACCCTCGATATCGACCAGTCCATAGAGCAGCTCAACAGGCTCATCTTGGAGCTGGACCCCACCTTCGAGCCCATCCCAACCCACATGAGCTCCTTGTGCAGCCGGGCCAATGGCTCTGTGGCCCCTGATGGCCTGGGCAATGGGCGCCGAGCCAGCAGCAGAGTACCTGATGCAGGAGAGGACCCTGGACGTACACCTGGGCGGCAAGGTGAGCTGGCTGGCCGGGGACACCATGTTTGAGTGCACTGGCCTCCTAAGTCTTAGCTTTCAGTCAACCCACAGGAGAGGGGCGTTTCCTTTGCTGCGTCTCCTCTCTGCAATATAGACTTAGGATTGGTGTAATGCTGTGGGCCCTTGGTAGCAGACTTGGAGGTGAGGAGGAAGAGGCAGGGACCTGCCTACTAATGTCAGTGCGGGGGCTGCGTGGGTCCCAGCATGCTGGTGGGGGCTGGCTGTGTCTTCTTGTCACATGCAACTGGGTGCAGTAGACCAATCAAGGGCATGGCTGGGGAGTCAACCGAACCCACCTGTGTGCAGCCCTCCATGCCACCCACCTGCTCTGTGATGGGCCAGGTCCTTAACCTCTCTGAACCTCGGGCTTAGCAACACCTTTCTCACTGGAATAGTTTGAAGGGGTTAGTGAAGGCAGTGTGCTAGCCTCTACCCACATGCTACAGGTAGGGTTATAGGAACATGCCAGACACTTCAGGAGGACCGCTGGACAGTCTTGTGGAGACAAGGAAGTAGGCTGTCACAGAGTATAGATTCTTTTTCTAAAAATAATTATTTATTTAATTTCATTTGTTATTATTATTATTATTTTAATTTGACCAAACAGAGAGAGAGAGAGAGAGAGAGAGAGGAAAAGCAGGAAAGTGGGAAAGCAAGCTGCCAGGTCTGGGACTCGAACCGTGGTTGACCATGTGGGAATCCAGCACCTTTAACCACCTTGCCACCTGCCGGCCCCCAGAGTATAGATTACGGATACACCATGCATGGTATAGAGAGGCTGTTCATTGGAGGCAGGGGTCACTGAGTGGTGACTGAGGGGGAACAGAGAGGTTGTGTGCAAGACAGGGGTGGGAAGTGCAGGGGGTTGAGGATGCAGGCTCAGGAGCATGGGGGCAGAGAGGAGTGGCCAGGAACCCAGAGTCACGGGGCCAGGCTCCAGCACAGTGGGGGCCGCGCCCAGGCATGGGGGCTACCTGTGCATACCCTGAAGCAGGTCATGAGTCTGCTGATGGCAGGGAGGCTGGGACTGTGCTGTTCACTCTAGTGGGGTGTTTGGGGGCAGGGGAGGCCTTGTGAGTTAAAGAGCTGGGTCAGAATGGAGGGCAGGCAGTGCCCCATCAGTTCTACTGCAGCGCTGACTCCTAGATGAATTGGTGTGGTAGGGGGCGCTCTCCATTGGTGCTAGCAGGCAGAAAGGCTGGGTAAGCAGGGACTGGCCATGGAGAGCCTGGGAGGAACCTTAGGAGGCTGGGTGTGTCACTGGGATAGAACTGGTGTCAGGCAGGAGCCTATGTGGGTGACTGCTGCAGGGAACATGTGGGTTCCAGGAGCAGCCACACCAGGATGGGTGGGCCGAAACTGGGCCAGCCAAGCAGCTGGGGCCACTGAGCCACTGCAGATACCAGAGAATTACATGGAGCCCCTGACTGTTGCCAGCTAGAGCCCAGGACCTGGAGGGTGACCTGAGAGCACATGCTCTTGGCGTGGCCCCTTTGTTGGTGTATTTGGGTGTGTCTGTGTCCCAGCTGACCATCCTTGGAGGGGCCTGCTTCTAAAAGTAAAGGAGTGGGTTAGGGGCCATTTAATATCCAAGAGGCACTGACGAGTCTCAGGGCTGCTGTAGCACTGTGGAGAGGCATCCGAGAGGCACTTACAAGTCTCAGGGCTGCTGTAGCACTGTGGAGAGGAGCCACCATATTTGCCGAGTATTGTTACAGGGGCCAGGTGGGGTGATCCTCCGTGCAGGTGCTAGTCTGCATCTCACAGTTGTGTTTACGGAGGCATCAGCTGGCCACGTGGCCTCCCAGCAGAGCAGGAGTTCATGCCCTACCTCATGAACCCTGGGGCCCTGCCCGCTGGGGTCAGACAGTCTCAGGTCTGGGCGACGGGGAAAGGAGCACACTTTGTAGGCATTGACCTTGGCTCTGGGGCAGAGCTGTGCCACTGGCCACCTCTGCTACTTTGGCATGTAAAGGAGAGTCTCTGTGTGTCTATTTACTACACCCGTGCAAAAGAAATCCTGTCCCTGAGTCGGGCAACAGCAGGAGCAAGGAAAGGCCAGTGCACGTGGGCCTCTGATGTGCTGGGTGCAGGTGAGTGGACATGAGCCTGTCTAGCTTGCCCAAGGAGCTGGGACTGTGCTGTCCCTCCTGGGAGCTGGAAGGAGCTTGGAGCATCTCCTGTGAGTAGAGGACCACACCCTGGGGCACAGCCACTTGACAGCTGCAGTGTCACAACAGTGCAGTAGCAACTACTGTCACCTGTCCGAGATATTTACAAGTATTATTAACTCGTTTAACTCAGTACCTTCAGGACATCCTGAGTTGAAAACAAAGATATCAGTGGGAAGAAAGCAATCTGCCTTGTCACACGTGAGTTACTTCACCAAGCCTTCTTAAAAGAAATGACTTGGAAAGATTAAAACCCCAGAGGTCTTTTCACTTGGCTTAGTATCTCCTTGGAGATTTAGAAGAGGGGGCTGTGTCTCCTTGTATTTGGAGAAAACGACTTCCAGGCTCAGGGTAACCCACCACGACCTCGTGAGGTTAATCCGTTTTCCAGTTGACTGCATTTGATCCGTGGTGATTCCTGGTTCTTACTGTAACAAGACTGTAAAGCCTGGGGATTTCAGAGTGGCTTTGTACCCTCTGCCCTCACCTTGGCCATTTTTACTTGAAAAACACATCAATTTAATAGAATTTTAATTTTGACTTTAGTTCCTCTTTAATTCCTTTCAGCATAAAAATAATGACCGCTGTAAAATTGAAGGAATTTCTTACTTCAGAAATAGACCAGTAGAATTCAGGGCACATTTGGTTTTTGATCATACAGATTTAAAGTCTTTATTGCTGTGTCCGTGTTTGACAGGCGTAGTGTTGTAGACCATGTGTGAGTTTTTGCAGTACTCACAGAACCGTGGAGAGTCAGATGGGTTAGATCTGAGCCTACTCGGTGCCGTATTCTGAGACCTTTTGGAAATTGGGAAATGACCTGCTTATCAGAAAACTGCAAAGTGCCAGCTGTCCGTAAGCACCAGCTAATGGACGCCGAAGGAATAGTCCCAGCTCTGGGACAGGGCAGAGCGAGCTGTGTCATACTTGGAACTTGCCTCCTCTCTTGGGTCAAGCTTCCTGTCGCAGGTTAGCCAGGCTGGGTGATGGAGTCTGCTTGAGACTCACATGACAATTAATGGAAAAAGCAGAGGTGGCTCTGAACAGCCTACACAGCAGGCTTGGAGTCTCAGTCCAGGGCATCTTGTCCCGATGGAAATCTCAACAGCATAATGTTAATGTGGGTAGCTCTTGGCCCTCCTAACTGGATAGGGAAGAGGATTGGCATAGAGAACGCTGGAACTCTCCTGATCTTAACGTGTAAATTTTTGTGGGTAAATGTCTTGACTGGAAGAGGCTAGGTGGCTGAAAGACAGAAAACAAAAATCATTAGACACTAGCTGGAAAAATCGTAAAAGGGAGGCAGCCAACTAGCTGATTCTGAGTCCCTAGAGCATCTTCAGAAGGTCGGGATGTCAGGAAGCCTGTGCTTTGCAAGTACTCCAGCGCCCCAGCCCACATCCATCTTCTCAGCCAGCTGGGGAGGCAGCAAGGGCTGTCGAGCTGGGGGCCTCCACGCGCGGCTCTCAGGTCCGCTGCTCTGAATAGGAAAGGGCTCGGCAAGTCTGGAAGGCCTGACACGCTCAGGAAGGCTGTGACCACCCCTAGATGCGTTGTGTGTGTGTGAGGCTCAGCCCACTTACGGGGTCAGCGCCTGACTAGAGCCCACCTCCAGTCTTGCTCAAAAAGGGAAAGTCTGGTCTGAAAGTATCCAAGAATGCCTTGTTTGCTACACAAGGCCCTCCTCCTTAGCTTGCCTTCTGTCTTGTCCCTACATGCTGACCTCCATCTGAAGTCTGACTGTAGATGAGGCTTGTCACAGAGACCTCAGCATCGTGAAAGTACCAGAATCCTTTGCTCTTTGCAGATTGTGTCCCAAATAGGAGAAACACCACCACTTGTGGTAGGAGTTGGAACTAGCATTTCCCAGAGCTCTCCTGGGAGCTGCTGTGTGTCCTGTAGTGCTCTGCAGCTCAGCATCTCTGCATCTCTGCAGGGGTGATAAACCCTGGCTCAGGTTAGTTCTGAGATGAAAATGATGTGTGAAGACAGCATTTCCTACACACACACACACACATATTATTTTTTTTTTTTGAGAGATTTTCACTGTAGGGCGCGTGCGCTCGCCAGGCAGACAGAGAGAGACATAGAGACAGAAAGCGAGAAATCACCCCCCAGGGGGGATGGTCACGCCGCAATCCCCTCTCCTCCATTCTCCTCTCGGGATCTTGGGCACGCACGCACACGTGCCCGGCGTGAGTTTTAAGCCACCGGGTCCGGGACACGAACCGCGATCAACTACGTGGGAGTCCAGCGACATAGCCATTACGCTAACTGCTGGTTCCCACACACATATTATTTTTATACATTCAATCACTGTTTATCATTTCAACATGCAAAATGAATTTTCCCATCATGAATCCACTGTATGTTAGTCTAGACAAAGACAGATAATTTTCCATTTTTGTGACCCTTAAATGTTTTGTTTCTTTCTTTTTCCCCTTGGTGAGCATTTTCTGGGAGTCTCTTTCAATAATACTGCTGCCGGTGATGGTAGTGATGGTGGTGACAGTGATGATGGCATTGACGGTGATGCGGGTGGATGAACGTGATGGTGATGACGTCAGTGACGATGGTGGTGCTAGCATGGTGTGGTGCTGATGACGGTGCTGTTGATTATTATAGTGAAGGTGATGGTGAGGGCGGTAATGGTGATGGTAGTCGTAGCAGTGATGTGATGGTGATGGCGATTGTTATGATGAGGATGATGATAATGGTGGTGGTGATGCCAGTGGGTGAAGGTGATGGTGAGGGCGGTAGTGATGAGGGTAGTCGTAGCAGTGATATGATGGTGAGGGCGATTGTTATGACAGGGATGATGATAGCGGTGGTGGTGATGCCGGTGGGTGAAGGTGATGGTGAGGGCGGTAGTGATGAGGGTAGTCGTAGCAGTGATATGATGGTGAGGGCGATTGTTATGACAGGGATGATGATAGCGGTGGTGGTGATGCCGGTGGGTGAAGGTGATGGTGAGGGCGGTAGTGATGATGGTAGTCGTAGCAGTGATATGATGGTGAGGGCGATGGCGATTGTTATGACGAGGATCATGATAGCGGTGGTGGTGATGCCGGTGGGTGAAGGTGATGGTGAGGGCGGTAGTGATGAGGGTAGTCCTAGCAGTGATGTGATGGTGAGGGCGATGGCGATTGTTATGACGAGGATCATGATAATGGTGGTGGTGGTGATGTTAAGCATGATGGTGAGGGCGGTGGTGATGATGGTAGTCGTGGCAGTGATGTGATGGTGATGGCGATTGATATGACGAGGATGGTGATAGTGATGGTGTTGGTGATGTTAAGCATGATGGTGAGATGGCGGTAGTAGCAGTGATGTGGTGATGTTCACCCAGCAGGATGTGTAACAGAACTCCTACTTGTCCAAATGTGCTTTCCATTGCTGCATGTTATCCCACTAAACTCACACTCATCCACAGCCCAAAAGCCTCTTGGGGGCAGTACCCATGGCTCTCATTGTGTTCGCTGACACGTGGTAAGAGCTTGGCAACGGTAAACAGAGGAATGGCGGGCAGGCAGAAATGTAGTTGACCCTCCTAGGACCTGAGTGACCCTATTGAATGGGAACTTGGGTGGGTTTTCACTGGACAGTATGAGGCAGCCTACTTCCATCTGCAGGTCCAATGGGACTGCCCAGGGGTTGGGGAGGGAGAAAGCTTTGGAGATCTGAAGTCTGGTTGCTCTCTGCTGACGAGTGCCGTGTTATATCATGAGGTGAGATGCAAGATGTTGGTTTGGGGTGCTTGACTCCCTCTGTCACCTGCCTGATAGGGAGGGCTACTGCCTTGCTCTGGTTTGATGCCCTCCAGACAAGGGTCATCGAGGAGCCCCAGCACTGCTGCAGCCATCCCTACCCCCTCATCCCCTCCCCAACCTGGGTCTCCCTGCTTCTCTTCAGCCTGAGACCCATGGGTTTCTTGGATCACATCCTTCAAGTGGGAGGAGATTTCAGCCAGTGACACTGGGTAACAAAAGAAGTGACCCAGCCTGTGAAATTGAAGATTCCAGGTTGGCAGAGAGCCAGCTCTGCTTTTCCATACCTCCAGGCTCTTTGCTTCATGTTAAAATATTTTATTCATGTTACATCAGAGGCCCTGTTCTGCTCTGTGACCCTCTGCCAGCCTCCCAGCGTCCCACCAGACAGTCAGTCCACCTCATGAGGACTGGCCCAGATCCAGTGAGTGTTGACTCTGGAGAAAAGGTGGCATGATGAAAAATATCACCTTTCAGTAATTGACGGTGAAGCTTCCTGGTTCAAGGTGTGTGTTAACCCTAAGCAGAGAAGCCACTGCTGAATACCAGAAGGATACCTCGGCGTTCAGGAAGCTGCTTGGCCTGCATACCCTGCACCTTCACTTGCAAGGTGCGAGGCTCACGGACTCACAGAAGAGGACTGGGTGATCCAGCCCACGTCACATCACACACTGGGAGCCAGGGACATTGGGAGTGCTCAGTGTGCTCCTCACATGCAGACCTCGCTGGGCAGCAGGAACCAGATTAGGCAATTAGTTGAGGACTTGCAGGGCAGGAGGAGGGGCTGGTATTAGGGATGTTCAGTGCTGAACCTCCAGTAGTGAGCAGAAGGGACAGGGATGAGGTGCTGGAGGGATGGCGGGCACCCCAAGGCAGAGCCTCAGGGTCTTGAATGGGACAGGGCTATGGCTGTATCCCAGTCCTTGCTTGTCAGCATGATCGTCAGTAGGAATGGCAGCTCAGAGAAGTGTCACTGCCGCTGGAGCTCCAGTAGGGGCCTGTGCCATGCTCCACATACAGAGGAGGGCAGTTGGCAGTGGGTGGGGTGGGAGAAGGATCTCAGGGGGGAAACAGGAACTAGCAGGCTGCCCCGATGTGTCCAGGCCAGTGGGCATCGGGAGAGAAGGAAGCTCTGGTGGATTTGGTTCTCAGTGACCTGGGTATGGGTGTTCAGAGCCATGTCGGAGGCACAGAACATCATGGCGTTCCTGAGTTCCATGTGCACTTACGTGAGCGCCATGTGGACAGGCAAACGTCCCCACTGTGGGGTCCACCCTGTCAATATCAGGCCCTCTGAGCACCAGGGGATCACACCAACTTGCACTGCCCGGGAGTCCTGGGAGGGAAGATTGACCACAGCTCGAGGCAGAGACCTCCCAGGGAGTCAGCAGGAGCCCACAGCCCCTGTCAGCTCCTCTCTGAGTGGGTGTGCTCAGCCCAGGGCTTCCTTTTCTCCCAGAGGCTTCCCCTGACCCTGTGCCCTCCTGCAGCTGGGTAGGGTCCCGGGCCTCTCATAGGAGAGGCTCCTTCATGCTGGTACTTGGAAAGCGGGATAGAGCCAAGGTCAAGGACACTGCGTGTTTGCAGGAAGGACTCCCACTCCATTTCCTGCCATGGGCGGAGTGAGGCTGCTTTGCCATCAGTGAACTTCAGTCCTGGGGACATTTGAAGGAAATGACTTAGGACATTCCTGCCCAGGGTCAGGACCTCATGGCTCTTCTCTGCCCTTCAGACCCTGGTATGTCAGAACCATGAGTGTGCATGGGCGAGTGAGTGCATATGTAAATGACAGAGCTTGCTCACTGTGCTGCGGCAGCCCTGTGTGCTCCCAGCTCAAGAAACCTTTAGGAGTACACAGCCTGTCCTCTGAAACCGCCCTCACGGTTACTTTTCTTCTGCTGTGTTAAGCCGAGTGTGGTGTTGGATAGTTGATAAATCGTTTCTGTTTACCTCAACACTCCACTCCATAAAGCTGGCCCTGAGGGGCCCCACACTATTACCACGACTGGCATGCTGACATCCCACGAGGGCGGGAGAACAGTGTGGAGGTGCAGTCTTCATTTTCAAGGCCTTAAGCTCAAGACATGGCTTCAGGCTGCCTCCAGCTCACTCTACCTGCCTGGCTTGGCCGTAGCCATGGCCCTCTGCCCACCCAGACTCCATATTTACAACAGTAAATATGTCCTAATCCCTTCTTTGCAACCCCAAAATGAAAGTCATAGCTAATACTCACTACTGAAGCAGGTACTAAATTAGAGACCGGGGGCCGGTGGGTCGAGCAGCAGTAACAATGTCCCGTGAAGCTCACCCACATGGAAAGGTTCCAGACTCATGTCTAGAGACCTTCCTGAACATTCTGGGCATACCCATGCCCAAGATCCAGGACTGGGTGAGGGTGGGGTGGATTGTGGTGTGAAGACCCTGGTGGAGGGACCTCTCTCCCCCTCTCTCTGTCTGTCTTTCTCACTCATGGAAATGAACTTTAAAATAATAGAAGTGTAGGGCCAGCATGTGGCATGGAGTTTACGGCACTGGATCCCACATGGCTGACTGCGCAGTTCAAGTCCCAGACCTAGCAGCTTGAAAATCACACCAAGCATGTGTGTGCATGCCCAAAATTTCAAGAGGAGGAGAGAAGGAATTATGGCATGGCCATCCTCCCTGGGGGTTGCTCTCTGACTTTTTCTCTGTCTGTCTAGTGAGCACCTGTGCCCTATATCAAAACTTAAAGAGAACTCAAAGAAAAGTAATTTATAAGAAAACAACATGCATTGAAAAGTGAAAACCTTTGGGCTGACCTACCGTAGAAAATAAAAATCACTCGGCTATTTTAAAAATGTATTTTACTTATTTACTTATTTGGGGGGGGTGGACAAGATGCACATGACAGATGGTTGACCCTCCTCGTGTTCAAGTGCACAGCTGATGGCAGTGAGTTTGTAACTGAGTCGTCGGCACCATCCAGCTCCAGAATCTCCCATGACCCCACCCGGGAGCCCCATCCACATCGCCAGCCCTGTCCCACCCTCACCTACTCTCCAGCCCCCGACAGCTGCTGCTCCACTTCATCTCTGGATTTGCCCGTCCTGCCCATTCTGTAGAAATGGCCTCGCGGCTGGCGTCTGTTACTGAGCACGACTTCAAGTCCCAGACCTAGCAGCTTGAAAATCACACCAAGCATGTGTGTGCATGCCCAAAATTTCAAGAGGAGGAGAGAAGGAATTATGGCATGGCCATCCTCCCTGGGGGTTGCTCTCTGACTTTTTCTCTGTCTGTCTAGTGAGCACCTGTGCCCTATATCAAAACTTAAAGAGAACTCAAAGAAAAGTAATTTATAAGAAAACAACATGCATTGAAAAGTGAAAACCTTTGGGCTGACCTACCGTAGAAAATAAAAATCACTCGGCTATTTTAAAAATGTATTTTACTTATTTACTTATTTGGGGGGGGTGGACAAGATGCACATGACAGATGGTTGACCCTCCTCGTGTTCAAGTGCACAGCTGATGGCAGTGAGTTTGTAACTGAGTCGTCGGCACCATCCAGCTCCAGAATCTCCCATGACCCCACCCGGGAGCCCCATCCACATCGCCAGCCCTGTCCCACCCTCACCTACTCTCCAGCCCCCGACAGCTGCTGCTCCACTTCATCTCTGGATTTGCCCGTCCTGCCCATTCTGTAGAAATGGCCTCGCGGCTGGCGTCTGTTACTGAGCACGACGTGTCCTAGGCTCCTCTGTGCTTCAGCATGTGTGAGAGCGTC